GCCGCCGTCTTTGCGCGCAGCCTGGTAGGAGGCCAGCTTCTCTGAGACCAGCTTGGCGGCGGCCGAGAAGCCGCTCCACATACAGTCCTGGATGATGATGTTTTTGATTAAGGTCTCGTCGTCCGGGTCGCAGATGAAGCTCTGGTTCACCATGTCGCCTCCCAGCAGCTCGGTCACCATCTCCAACTGGTCGGCGGTGGAGAAGCTGCCGCCGCCGCCATCGTCCACGTCCCGGGGGGAGAAGGACGCGAACGCGACGTAGGAGGGCGAGCAGAGTCCGGAGCGGCGGCTGGGCGACAGGGGCGGGGTGGGCAGCAGCTCGAATTTCTTCCAGATATCCTCGCTGGGCGCCGGCGGCTGCAGCTCGCTCTGCTGCTGCTGGTGGTAGAAGTTCTCTTCCTCGTCGCAGAAGAAATAGGGCTGCATCGAGTCGTAGTCGAGGTCATAGTTCCTGTTGGCGAAGCTGACGTTGAGGGGCATCGCGGCAGCCTGCTACAGGGGGCACACAAAGGGGGGGCGATCTTGAGTTAAGGGGGCGTCTAGGCTGGTGCCTCACCCCGGCGCCGCGCGCGCCCCAATCATGAACCACTCCCCTTCCAGCGCTATCCCCCCAAATGGGCCAGTGGCTACCGGGGGCGGGGACCCCCGGAGCCCCCTTTCGCCCCCTCCGGGAGCCCCCCTATCTCGGACACAGATTTGGCGAGCCAGCCGCGGAGCACCAGCGGGACTTTTGTTCCCCAGGAGCCGGAGCGCAAAGCCTGGGATTCAGCCCCGCGGCTGGAGCGATGGAAATGGGCTCTGGCCTCGGGAAGAGGCCAGGGGAGGCGGCGGCGGGGAACGCCATCCGCCAAACCGAAAAGTTTTGCCGCACCTGGAGGAGAAGGCGAGCGGCGCTGCGGCGGGAGCGGCGGCGCCCCTTCCCCCGCGGGGGCCTCCGCCCCTCCCGGGCCTCCCTCTCCTCCTCCGCCATCCCCACCCCCCAGCGCCGCCCTTCCCTCCCCTTCTTTTGCAAGCTTTTTCTTCTTTTTCCCCTCGCCGGCTGGGGGCGGGGAAGCCCCGCCGGCGGGTTTTTAACCACCCCCGGGCCCCCCCCATAAATAAAAAGGGGGGGCATTAAAAAAATAAAAAAAGGCCCCTCCCCTTCAACGCC